CAACGGCTTCCTCCCACCCACAACTCCCTCGACGGTATATGGGCAGAGAAAGCGACTCCGTGGTACAGATGATCCCATATGCAGTCAAAGTTTATAAGGATATCTGAGTGTTCAGATACACGTTCTTTTAGAACTGAGATTCCCTGAGCCTAATAGCTACCTTCGCGGAATACACCTTCTGCGATGTCCACGGGCGTTATGTTCAGAATTGCATTAAGTGCCATGGTTGTCGGCAAAGTCCATGCAATCAACATGCAACACACCGAGAAATACCTCCCCAGAGGACGTATTGCTGGGAAAGTGAGCATCTAAGAGAATCTGAAGTGTTTCTTCACTGCTCAGGCCCCACTTTCCATTTTTTCCTTGAGATAACCCAGGGACACAAAAGTTGAAGAATTTCCCCTATTACAGATGCGAAGATTTTTGATAACAATAAAATCAAAAAGCGACTCACCTCTATAATTGGTATCCGAGCTACCCCAGATTTAGTCTGCGCTCACAAAAGTTGAAAAATTTCCCCTATTACAGATGCGAACATTTTCGCTAACAATAAAATCAAAAAAGCGAGTCACCTCTATTGTTGGTATCCGAGCTACTCCAGATTGAGTGTCGTGAGTTGGCGACCTAACCGATGATGACGCCGGCATCATTCCGGGACGCTTCAGCCAAGGTCTTCCTTAGCAGTAAGGGAGGTTGTTCCACCTCATCATCATATGACATGTACACGGAGATAAGCCAGCCATTTCTGGTGTCACACTCTAATTTTACTGTCACTACGTCAGAGTTGCTGAACTTATCTTACCGTTAATTCATTTCTGACCAGCATACAGGCCTGAATCCTTGGTCGCGAGCAGCTTATGGTTCTCGTCAATCCAGAGATCCCGTTACCAGTTAGCCATGGTGCCTGGATCATTACGACATCGGCTTCATCTTTCTCCAGACGAAGCAATAGATTGGCGGAGGCCGCCTTTGCGTATTGGAGGTAAATCCGGAGGAGTTTCACGTTTCACACTTTCCTCAAGAAGCGCTAGTTCAGCGCTCATATCTTGATCGATCCTTATAACCTCAAACAATTGTTCGAGGTTGAAAACGAAGTCGCCGATCGACGAACCGCCTCCAGGACTCGAAAAGTCCGAGAGGTTTGGGTCGTTTTCCATGGTCGGTTGACCATCACCAACGCCGTCTGCCTTCTCCCCGCATCTTGGGTGGCATCAGCTCTGGTGTCCGCCGGGAGTACCTTAAGCACTACCATTTCGAACCCATAGCTGATGGCTCCCTTGGTTTTGATGAGAGGACCGATGGACTCCGCGTTAAACATTATCAGCGCCTGCCCATACGGCTCAACGGTACTCTCCAGGCTTATAACCCTCCAGTCATGAGTAGGAAGTGAGGGGTTGCAGTACTTGAGGTTTCCTCGATCCAATTCGCTGTAGAAGGTTCGGCCTATTATCCACGGCCTTCAGTCTGGCTCCCTTCCAAACCTTCCATACCTCGGAGACTGCCTTCTTATACAAGATAGCCAATCTTTCATCGGCACATCTTGTCAGCTTGTGCAGCCCATGGTGTCAACCGGCATTTACATATTTGAGGGTAGCGTAGGGTTTCCTTTAACCACACTGAGGAAGACTGAAGAGATAGTTGCCGCTACTCTCTTCCATTCTTCGTGGGAGATGGCACCGTCCTTCCTGCTGCGATCGAGCACTCCAAGTACTATTGCACCAGCGCTTTTAGTGTTTTCACAAAAAGTCTCTCATGCGACCTTTGCCGCTTAACCACTGGTTCAGGTCTCTTCGTTTCACGTCGTGCCCTATCGGTCTCACTCTCAGTCAGCAGCTTCTGAGGCCTGCCAGGGTTTTAACGAGATGGAGGCGGTTGCGTCATTAGCCCGACAGCCATTTCTGATGAATGTCACCTCATCATCCTAAAAAAGTACTACGTGTCTCAAAATGTCCATCGTGCTCTGCTTGTAATTGAAGGTTTGCGATGATACGTTCCAATCCCATTTAAATGAATTTGGTTGTTGAGGAGGATTCCTTTGTTAGTTGAAATAATATCTTGGTCTCTGGTACTGATCCGAATTGTCCACTTCCCTCGGTTTTGGTGCAACTTGTTGTTGCAATTGATTATAATTTCTAGGCTGATAACTCCTCTGTATTCTGATTTTTTTATTCTGACCATAAAGGTCCATACTTGCGATATCCAGGATCTATATTGACATTTGTTTCCATCGAACCGTGGAAGTACTTTGAATAAGTCCAGGTTAACTTCCATGGGGTCGTTAATGTGCAAGCGTATTGCTTCGTGTTGATCGACCGTCGATACTCCATTAAGCGATTCGCTTGAATCAATCACTAATAGTCGATTCTGCACCTCAATGCTTTGCTGCTGCAAACTTTGAGTTAGTCGATGTGTGCGCATAGTTGTGCCATTTCTGATGTTATCGTAACTGCTTCTGATTTTCTACGACTGCCGTGGATGTTTGCCCTTTTTTCCTTCTGGAAGTTCTTGATGTGATCCAGTTTTTAGTGGTCCCTCAGAATTCTGTTTTTGTTCCAATTTTTCAGGAACCTGCTGTGTCTTTCCGTGGATTTTCATTTCTTAAGTCTTATATTTCAAAGACTGCCTGGAAAGCAAGTTGATTTGCGATCCCGGTTAAGACCCCAGTTAAATAATAATAATATTGTGTTTATTATTTTATTTATTTGTTGAGTCTCCACCTTCACGTTTGATGGCAATACTAAGACTAAAGGTTTGCTTACAACTATTTTTACTATCAACACAACATTTTAAGCGGATAAATATATTTGGATAAGGTCTTAAAAATGTTTTTATGTTTGCAGCTGATAAGGATTTTTTTGATATGTTTTGTTTCGTGAGTATGATAAGGAATGTTATCTTCCTTAACTTGACCCACTCCCACTGTCCTCTTCTGAACCCAGTTTTTACAAAGCTGTCTAATTTCATCTCAGTGGTTAAATTTAATGTCCCTAAAGCTTTTGATTATTGATTTATCGTACTTTTAGTAGTTTTTAACAGTATATGTGGAGTGAGTTAAGGAACGTATTTTTCTTCTTGATTGGCGTAGACACCGCTTACGCGATTATAGCCGAGTTAACAACAGCGCGCCAGTCGTTTTTTCTTTTCGCTACGTGGCGCCAATTATATATTCCAAGTGAAGCCAGGTCCTTCTCCACTTGGTCCTTCCAACGGAGTGGAGGTCTTCCTCTTCCTCTGCTTCCCCCGGCGGGTACTGCGTCGAATACTTTCAGAGAGTGTTTTCGTCCATCCGGACAACATGACCTAGCCAGTGTAGCCGCTGTGTTTTAATTCGCTGAACTATGTCAATGTCGTCGTATGTCATCGTTCCATCGAATGCGATATTCGCCGTGGCCAACGCGCAAAGGACCATAAATCTTTCGCAGAACTTTTCTCTCGAAAACTCGCAACGTCGACTCATCAGTTGTTGTCATCGTCCAAGCCTCTGCACCATATAGCAGGACGGGTATTATGAGTGACTTATAGAGTTTGGTTTTTGGAACGTATTCCTTATGATATAAACAGAATGTATCACAATAGCAATAGAAATACACTATCACTACAACAAACAATCCCACACAAACAAACATAGAAACAACCTTGAATTTGAATACCACAGCAATCTTTTAGAACAAAGGGAATGTCTCTAAGCAAACAATATACTATAATATAGTAATATATACATATTATGTAAACAAACCCAAATAAATAATTTAATACACATCTGTATCCAAGCAAACTATCAGTTAGTAATAAGCAAACATACTAGTTAGAAACGGATACCGCAAAAGTCAGAAGATTATCAGAAGATGCTATAAATTTTGCAATTGACCATTAATGTCAGTTCTTTTTAGATATTTATGTATTAAACACATGCGAAATACACGTAAATAAACAACGGTACGCTACACTGCGTGCCACAACCGATATGCTAAAGGATGCATTTCCCGGACGCCTAGTCTCCCGTTTTGGCGATTTGGACTGGCTAGCAAGATCGCCTGATTGACCGATTCATACTTCTTTTTGTGGGCTTTTTGAAGTCGTGGATTTATGCCAACAAGCCTCAGACCCTTGCAGCTCTTAAAGACAATATCCGTCAAGAATGTGAGGACCTATCACCGGAAATTCTGGTCATAAAAGGGGCTCAAATGACAATAAACTATGGCGACGGCCATTTACATGATATCATATTCTCGACTTGATGTAAAAAAATTTAAAAGACCAAATAAAAATAATTCACAGGCAGAATCAAAGTTTATCATTTTTAAAAAAAAGTTTTTAATTTGCCAAAAAAAACATCGGGAGGTAATTTTTGCGCCACCTGTTATAAATATAAGTAAGAACCGTATAATAAGTTAGTCTTAAGAGTATTAATGAAGAGTACACATTTCGGTGCACGTCAAAAAATATATTCTTTTGACTCATTTGTACTTCAAGTAAAAACTAGTGAGAGGGTTTAACATCCGATTTCATTCATTTTCAAACTGTGAGGGTTTTGATATGATTTATCTTGAGCCTTAAACCTATTAGAGGGCTGTACCTTGATCTTGCACTCTCGGACGGAGGGAGAGACAGACAGACACTTCCCCAGATTTCAACTCGGCTCTTCATCCTGATCATTTATATATACATAACCCCATTTCTAACTCGATTACTTTTAGGTAATACATACAAGTGATAGGTGAAAAAAATTCCTATACTCTGTAGGAACTCGTTGCAAGGGTATAAAACAAAGACAATAATAAAAAAAGATAATTTTATTATATCAGCTATCCAATCTATAAGATAATAGCATTAATGGCCTGTATTTAATCATAGTATTTAGAATTACTGTTTCAATTGATCTCATATGATATCTTTCATCTAAAATAATAATTATTATTCCTTCTCATATTACTAATATATGTTTATTAGTTGAAACGTTAACATTTTAATATTTGATCATTATTTTTCATATTTTTCAGATGGTTCAAATTCCATGTCAATCCTTTAACAAAACATGAAGATTGGATGTACACTGGAGGTTATTGGGAAAGAAGCCATGAAACTACATCCCAATTTTTTTAATGAAATTTGTAAAATTGCGTACTTGTACTTGTGTAAAACTGTTACTATCGATTAAAACTAGTTTTGTTTAAATTAAATTAAAGGACAGAAGGTACGCAGCTGAAATTTGGCTAAGAGTGTCGTAATGAAGTGTGAGCTAATTTATTTTAAACTAATTGTGTAGTAGCTGGGTCAAACTTCGTCAAGTGATCCAGAGAAATTTCGTAAAATCACCTATTTTGAAAATTAGCAGTTCATTAGGAGGGGGACCAGATGCATACACTTTAGCGAAAAGAAGAAACGACTGGCGCGCTGTTGTTAACTCGGCAATAATCGCGTAAGCGGTGACGACGCCAATCAAGAAGAAGAAGTTAAAAGTTGTGAGGAAATTAGTTTCAAATATGACTTTCAATCTGACAAAGAAAACAATGCACCCAATTTATTCGCAGCTAAATTTGATCAAGAGGGCTTTGTACTAGGGAGAAAACTAGGAAACCATTTAAAAGAGATGTTAGTTTAGATCGTGATCTTAAATTTCAACAAGATGTTACTGATCTATTAAAACAATATGAAATACAGTGATATGACTAATAAAAATAAGTAATAAAAGCTTCTTTCAGAATATTTTCCAAAAGAAAGATCTCTAGCAAGCTACATTTGACTAAAAGCAATGTAGCAATTGTAAAAGCAAAATATAATGAGACGATTTTATTCAGTGATGAGTCAGATATTATACAATCTAGTGAAAAATGCTATTCGTAAAAACTGATAGCGATTAAGTTTGCTTAAAAATAGGGATGATAAATTACATTTTTTTTAAGGAATATATATATTTTTTGTTTTACCTATTATGCTTTTTTAATACGCTTTTATTAGCTTCACTTGTATGTATGTATGTATGTATGTATGTTTGTAACTTTTTAAGTGGTACTGAAACGTAGAATATTTTAATACGCTTTTTAGTAGCAGCGGAAAGCCGAGCCTCAGAACTAGAGAAAGCCAGAGAGGCTCGTTTGCACCAAATGCGTCAGCATGCAGCGGAAAGC